CAAACAGCACGCCATGACGTTGTGCCTCTTTCGCTGTTTGATTGGCCTTTTGGCTCATAACATTTGCGGCGCTCGGACCGAAGCTGAAACGAAGTATAGTGCCGATTTTAAAAAAAAGTTTTTGTTTTATTGATGACGCAACAAGATAAGACTATTTGCCTTGAAACATTGCAAGTTCGTACATTACGACAACCATAAACCTCGAACCCCTGCTCAGGAGCTCAAAACTAACAACAGACGTCCTTTCATCTGAAGCAGAATGGACCCTTTTAGAAATTTAGAAAGGATGCAGAGAGTGTGTGCGGCCGCCATTAGTTGGTCATGCACTGTGAGCCCGCATTAAACACGAGCGCTTCGTCAGCATTCGGAGTTCACTCAAACCCAAACGAACTCCTCAAGAGTGCTGCGTCAGTTCTCGGCGCGAACTCGGAGCAAATCACGGGCTTCACGCCGGAAGCGATGAGACCAACCAATGACGGCTGCGCATATTTTATGCATCATTTAACAATATCGCAAAGGGTCTATTGGTGTATGTTGTTATTCTGATACGAACCGGTCATTACTAGACCAGTGGCGGATTCAGAGTGGGAGGTACGGATGTTCTGATCTTCCCCTTCTCCCCTCCCCCCCCCCCCCCCCTTCAATTCCGCATCTCAAAATTTTAGGGCAGGCAAATGGGCGTAGGGTGCTTTCTCAAGCATCTGATATGCTGACCGACCCCCCTCCCCCTTACAAACGCTGACATCCGCCCCTGACTAAGATGTGGTTAGTCGGCATGTAACAAAAATTGGCTAATACCCTAGGGCAGTATGCAAACGTTGCTAGGATTCACCATGCACGCAGAGGGTTTCCGTGACCGTTACACCAGCTGAGTTTTGACATGCGATATCATGCCAGGTTTTCGTAGACTAGTCGGAGGCGTCAGCCATCCCCAAGAGGTTTCGGCAGGCGGAAGATGTTGTAGCGGCGGAGAACTCAGTCAAGATCCCAGCCAATGGGTGCGTGCCGGAACGGTTCAGTAAAAGCGTAAGAACAATCGCAGGTAGAGATTAAGCTCAACTACCATGGAAAAAGTGGTGTTTCTTGAGAAGAATAGGCGAGTCAGATATGGCGAGTCAGAACTATATGTAAGCCTTTTTTAACCTCGCGCGTGTATCCAGACAATGTACTTTGCTTCGCAAGCAAGTTGAATTAAACAATTCAAATACTCGTGTGGTTTGTCAAGGCCGCCTAAAACAAGGCAATTATATAAAAGTGATACAAAATATAAAAAACAAATTAACAGCTATTTCGACAGAGGTCGGGTTGATCATATCGAGACTGCTCGCTTCCATATAATGTCCTATATACGTATAACAAGCGAGGCAAACCAGAAAGAATTCTTGACGCCTGCAGCTCTTCTGATTGAGAAGCGAATAACCAGTTTTCTATTCGACGTCACGAGAGACCTACGTTCATCGGCAATTAGTGCGCGTTTATACTGGTTGAGAAATATGCGCAGTTAGGGGAGTTCTGGAAAAGATGGACAAAAGAGTGCCTGCATGAACTCAGACATGCGAGGAAAGCTGGGAACTCGCCGTCCTTTAGTCCAAACTTTGGCGATGTTGAGCTCAGTACAAACAAGGCCCAAAAACGACTGTGAAAAAAAGGCGAGGTTGTACCTTGGGAAGACTTTTTTTTTTCCTGATCTCGTGGCAAGTTACACACTTGCTGCGCAAGGTTTTAGCACACAGGAGAACCGCTGGCCGAGTATGTTGAGTCGTTGAACGCATAGCAGCTCAGAGCGCGGGGAGCGAAAGTTTGAACTGCAGACCCCAGAGATCCTGGGTTTAGTCCCCACCCCTGGCCGTTTCAATATAGATGAACATCGTATAGCGGCATGCGGTCGTGTATCACTACTGCGCGGTTCATGTTAAAAATCACAGGCTAGTAGTTGTACTGCACCGACTAAATTTACTGTATGGCTAAGACACCAGGGACGCCCATTAATGTTGACCAACTTCCGTCTGTATAAACATACGTACAACGCGAATATTGTTATTACGAACACACAGATAACCTTTAAATGACCAATTCAGCCGCTGTGCCTCCTTCTTGAGGCCCACAATCGAACCGGCCGGGAGAAGGTTGAATCTAAAGAAGAATTCGTGAGGAGTGATGGCGACGTTGGCAAGGATCGCCGACTATGCTTCGTTTCATCGGAAGTCAAGACGCAACCGACGCGCTAAGAGCCGAGCGGTTAGGAACGATGGGACGGTGCCAAAAGCGCACCGTCACATTGTTCGTCATGTTTCTACGCCTGCTCTGTCATCTCTGGACCAATCATAAAAAGGAGAGCCTATAGTGACTTGGGCTTTCGACGATGCTTGATTGTTATCATTATCTCGTAGCGAAGTACAGCCAAAGTATTTTTTTATCGTTGATAAACACGCATTTAATAAATGGCCCTTTTTTTCTACTCCGTCGGCTACCCACGAATATAATTCCACAAAATATTCAGGCCACATGAAAAAGTACATCGTCGCCGCGCTCATCGCCTTTGTGCGTTTGCTGTCTGAATAAGCCAATTACGTACAGTGAACGCAGAGCGATTCTGCGCTTTTTCTTGTTTCTTTCTGACAGCAATTGGTGCATTCGATGATAGCAAAAAAAAAAAGAAATCTAGAGAGCGCCGCGTCGCTGCACTTCCGATGCTGTTTGATTGATTCCTTGGGACCGCAGCTTGAGCTATGGTCGGGCATAAACTGAAAAGGACTGTACAGTATGACACCGGCGTTACTGGCGTTTGTTCTCTATTTTGAACGAAGCAGCTGCGACGCTGCGCTTACCCTCGTGCACCGGAGAATTGGCGACGACGACGCTAGCAGACCTGCAACATGTCCAACCACCGGGCGCACACCGGGCGCGACTGCCGCGCCGCTCGGCGGCTCTGGAGTAAGCACCAGGTGTCCGAGCCCCGGCCACGCTCTGCCTGGCATTGGCCGTGAGCCGCGTCCGGCAGTCCGTGACGGGAGCGGAACAACGCAGGGGATCGACCGGTCGATGTCTTGCGGGGACGCCCGGAGAATTAGTTATCGCTCAGCCGCCCCAATTAACGGCGGATACACGGATAGCCACAACGTGTTTTGTAAGTGTGTGTGTTTGTGTGTTTGTGCTTGCGCATGCTTGTGTGCGTAGGCCTGTGTGCTCACGTGCTTGTGAGCGCGTTTCTGTGTTCGTGCGTGCGTGTCTGTATACATGTATGGCTGTGTTTGTGTGTGTGTGCGCGCGTTTGCGTCAGAACGCCCTTGTCTGTATGTGTATTCGCGTGTGTACGTGTGTGCATGTGTGCGTGTATGCTGGCGCGTGTATCTGTTTGTGTGCGCGTATGCGAGCGTTTTCATGTACTTGTCTGTGTATTTGTATGCGTGTACTTGCGTGTGTGTGTGAGCGCGTACGTGTGCGAGTGTGCCCATGTGTGGATGAGTGCGCGTGTTTGTCTGCATGTGTATTTGCGTTAGAGTGTACATATGTGCGTGTGTGCATACGTGCGTCTGTAGTCGTGTGCCTGTAAGATTGTGGGACACCTTCGCGCGTATGGCTGCGTTTTTACAATGGCGTAAATGCTAAAGCGTGTTCTTGGGTGTTGACCCAATGTAATCATGGGTGTTTGTAATTCAAGACAGGAACTTGGGAACTGATATGCGCCTGATATGCCCCGTCTCTGAAAAATGCATGCTGCCATTACGTTACTGAGGATGGCTCTTGTGCTCTTTTGTGACATGAAATATAATTAGAGGTGATCAAAGCTGACTTGCGCAACGAACGCCTCCCAGAACACGGGTTGCATGATATGCGTCAAAATAAAGGTTGCATTACGCAACTTTATTATGAAACGTAGACGTTCTCAGACTGAGAAATACAGTCCAGGGTTAAATTATAGATACTTTTTTTAATTTTAAGTTATGCTGTGTGGCTCAAAATGGGTTTAAAATGTCATCGAGCATAATCCAGTTGATACAATGATCATGTCTCAAAATGGGCAATAAAGATGGGCAGTTTTCACAGTATTTGCTATACCACTTTTGCAACATTTTTGAATAGTCTACTTTTACGTAATGGCACCCAAATGAGAGGGAAAGCATCGGATAATGGTTCCACTTTTTTTTACCTAAGTTTTCAAGTTGTCTATAAAACACAGCCTTGTAAAAATCCTGGTTTCCGTTCTCCGACAGGTAGCGAGATACTAGCGACGCGCATTCATATTTGGTTTAAAAGCGCTTCAAAAAAAAAAAAAAAAGTAGATGGCACCCAGGCATGTGTAGACCTCCTGGAGTTACGGAAACGTATGTCTCATAACATATCTCTAACCTTCTAGAAGCTAACGCAAGCATATTTTTCCCAACGTGCCACGACACTCGAACAAACTAGGTTTTTGCTCCAGTATCTTCGAAAGGAATAGTAGTTTTTGTTATTCATGTTCGATTGAAGTAATTCAGAACGCCGTATTATTCTGTTCATTTTAAATTTTTTTAAGACGCAAGTTAAACATACACCCTATTAGGGGAAAATCTCAAATTCCACTGCCATGAAATGCACTGGGAGGATAAGTTGCTTCCTAACAATAAAGGACGCATACAGCCGTTAGAAAGACACTGAATCGAAACTTAAGATATACATCTCACGTTCAGAAAGAAGTTAAACATGATCAACCCAATATGTTAATTACCATCGCATGCCTGTATTTTGAACGGGCTATATATATATTTCGTTCCGAAAGGCCAAGTCCAGCGAGCGCTCGAAGATCAGCAATCGAATAGCGCGATGTATCAAGCGAGCTGGACCGATTGATGTCAAACGTGACGTCACCTGGTACAGCACGTGGAAAGCTGCTTGGGGGCTGGCGCTGTTATGAGATCTGCCACTTGGCGTCGTCAACACGTTGCAACCTGGTGGTGTTTGGTTGCCAGACACACAGATTGCCGCCGCACTTTCGCAGAGCGGCGAGGCTTTTAAGTGCATAGTGCCCTAACGACATTCGGTTTATTCATTTTAAATAATGTCTCGGTATATTTTCGAGCAAACACTTGGTGTCTCCCTGGTGTGGCCAGAACGTGGCTGACATTCAGGCAATAAACTAAGCGCTAGAATTCAGTTGCAGTATTCAATAAAACTTGAACAAAAACGTCTCTTTCAATCCCAGTCAGTGGGACGTTACGCAATGCCGCCTGCCACCTCTATGACAGCGCCCGTCATGTACGAACTTTCGGGACAGCAGAGAAACACCACAACGTCCGCGATCTCTCGAGGCCTCCCCGGTCTCCCCAGTGGAATGGTGGCCAGCACGTCGTCCTTCTGCTGCTGAGTCATGCGATTCGCCGCAGGAGTGTCGGTGTAGCCGGGAAGAACGGCATTGCAGCGGATGCCTGTCCCGGCAAGATCGAGGGCCACGGTCTTGGTGAAACCCACGACGCCTGCCTTGGACGCCACGTAGCCGCACAAGCCCTTCATGCCAATCCTAGCGGTGAGGCTCGAAATGTTCACAACACTGCCCTGCTGAACACCGCCAGAGAGCATGGCCTTCACGGCCTCTTGGGTTACCAGAAATGTGCCCTGTAAACAAAGACGCGTAAACAGAAAAAACAAATTCCAGCTGTGTTATGGTCTATACTTCGTCTCACTCACTAAGTCCGAGCGCACTCTAAGCTACGTTTCGATGAAGCCAATTAATCAGAGCCAAAGTTGCATCGTCATGGCCCTCTTCGACAACTCTAATGACGCAGATTGAATGCGCCGTGATCCTGTGCTTTCCGTTTCGTGCTTGATTGCTTTAACCGATGATAGAAAACTGAAGAAGACAAGTAGCGCCATGGCGTCATACTTTTGGCGCAGTTTGATTTGCTCCATCAGATCGCTCGGACTTGGTGTGGAAGGCGTGCAGCGATAAACTCTCGTATGCAGGGAAACTTATGGGCGCAAATAGAGACGGTCAAGGAAGGAGACACGAACAAACGATTGTCCGTGTTTCATTTATTTGTGTTCGTCTCAGTTTGTGCTTACAAGTTTCAGGTACAAACTACAACTCAACAAGAAGTCTTGTCCTACACAAAATTCCATTTTATGAGAGACGAAGCCCAAGTTCAGTAAACGCCTCCCTGGCACAAACCGCCACGTTTTTTGTTTTTTTTTTATTGTTTTTTTTCTTTTTTTTTCTTTTATCGTCGAAAAGTCGTCGTTCGTTTCTTTTTTTTTTTTTTTTTTTTCTGCGCGACGACACAAAGAATGTACTAACTGAGGCGATGTAGCGTCGTGAGTAATGACTTATAAGTAGAACTATAGTCGGTGACAGGCTATCCGTAAAGTGAAAGCCCCTCCCACAAACGCTAGAGAGGAGGCGACCTCCTCTCTAGCGTTCGCTCTGCTAATTTGGAAAGAGGCGGGAGGGGCTTCCACTTCCTTCCTTGACCTGTCACCCACAATAAATTTCCGTAATCCCGGGGTTTATTTATTATTTTTTATTTGTGGGTGTTCTTTTTGGTTTGTTTTCCCATCGAATATGTGCTTTTCGGTATCAATTAAAAACAAAAAAATCGGTGTTTGTTCGCCTTACGTTGAAAACATAGGACACTGACACGTGCTTCCCCAACATTCAAGGAGCATACGCGTATGCTTGCAAACAACATCCCCGTACGAATAAAGAAGAAAAACAACTCAAGGAGTGCTCGATTCGAAAAAGAAGCAGTCTCGCGGACAGTTTGGGGCTGACTATGCCCAAGTAACCGCAAAATAAAATCTCTGATTGGAGAACCTTCACGTGAAACTTTCTTTTTTTTTTCAGCTTGTTTAAAGAGGGCTTTAATTCGGGACTTTTTGGTGTTCCCCTATTTTGCTAAAACCGTCTCGGGGGTTAATTTTTGGTGTTTATCACTATTTAGGTAAAAACACAAAACCCTACTTGTAAGGTGTCAATACGTCAAGTATGCGAACGCGTGTAGTTGGTTTCCAGCGGAGGTTATTTTCATTACATGGAACCGTAGTGAAAAGAAAGTCCGGCTTTTCGCTGAGCATTACTGAATTCCCCCTTTATGCACATAATAAATATATATGTAGGTGCATTCTAGACTAGATATATGTTATCTTATGAAGACGTACGAGTCTCAAACACTAAAGCATCGCTTCTTCCTCCGACAACCAAATCTCGCAGGAATTACTTCGCGCGGCGTATGAACCAAGGCGCAAAACTTCCTCTTTTTATCAGGTGAAAACAAGTATCGTAGCCTGCCATTCTCGGTGACCCATTCGCAACTCCAACACCCCATAGATGGCGGGGTGGAATTTCCGAGATGGTGGAAGAGACGTGGATAGATTTTCCGTGCGCCTACTCTCTGACGCTGGCCAATATGCTTAAATTAATTTATTTAGCAAGAAAAGGAAACGGACTGGGCAAAAGCGTGTCGCAGGTGACGGAGATGTTGACGTACGTTAGAAAACCGAACGTCTTTTTTTTTTCTATGCTGTGGTATTCTTACAGAAGCTGCAACGCTTTTAAAAAAAAAAACGTGTTTGGGAGTTTTTTGTTTTTGTTTTTGTTTTGTTTTTTAGGTAAAATTTTGTTTTGTTTGAGCTGTGTCTGGCCACCGGCGCTATAACGTGAGCCGCGCATGGTTACTGTTAAGCTCCGGTAGAGCAGTGTTTTCGGTATTGATATTTCCGTGTCAGAGGCTCACATCTCACTGCACGCTGTCGAGCATTTAGTGCATTGCAACACGTCATCAACGTGCGCCAGGGTTACTAATCGGCAGTTTTAGTATAGCGTAGCCGCAAGCACCCGCATGCGGTGAGCCTTTGCGAGCAGAGTTTCGCGCTGCACCTTTGAATTATGATTTTCGGCGCGCGCAAGGAGCGTTCCCGTCCCTTCTGTATACCTGCGATAAAGCTATGCAAGAGCTGCATAATAACGCTGTCGGCGTGTTTAGGCTTTCTATTTGTTGATCTATCAAATGGAATATTCAAATTTACGGTATACTACCACCTATCTACCGCGTTATTCGCATCGTCGATACCCACCTCGCCTAAACTGCCTGTTCTAACATACATCACCATCGACACACAGGCGCCCTTAAAAATGCCGAATTTCTTTATTTTCTTTTGTAATGAACTGAAAGCAGGTATACGTGCAGTCTAACTTTTGGAAATGCTTGAAGCAAACTGTCGTGTTTCTTGTCAACATCTTTCGGCGCATAAAAGTAGAACCCACTCCCGATGTCTATTGCTCGATACACCGTTGCGCGAGCAGTTTTTTCCTACTTTCTGGAATGAATAAACTTTTTGTCAATCGTACGCAAGAGCTTTGCACTACCGGAAGGAGCTTTTACCGTCACATTGAGCACAGATTATGCTGGCGACCACAGGAACCGAAATGTGCAGTGCATGCTATCTACGGAAAGTTCCTAATGAAATGAGATATCCCTGTCTTTTTGTCCAATGTTGTTGCGAAGCGGACCGCAATTTCTACTTTAACGCACTCGCTTTTTCTGTGAAAACTGCCTGATGCACAAACACGCCGATTAGACCAGCAGTACCAAGGCCAACATTCCTTGCCACCGTCTCCGCCGCCATTGTCGCTCCTCCGGTTCTTCTTCCTCCGCGAGAGGGCGAGCCGCAGGCTGGAGTTGCGAATAGCGCCTACAACGTTTTTTTTTTAAAAGAATCCGCATCGACGTTTTGCGAATAAAATATTTCCTTCTTTATAGAGATCATAACAGCGGAGTACGTACCTTCAGATTGACCCTGACTACCTTGTCGAAGTTCTCTTCGGTGGTGTCGATGATCGAAGCGAACCCGGCCACGGTTCCGGCACAGTTCACCACAATGCTGACTGGAACGGACGACATTTTCTTGATGTGTTCGAACATTCCTTTCACGCTCGCGGAGTTCCCGATGTCCACCTGGAGTGCTCCATGTTTCCGGTCACCTGTCAGACATGCGGGTTAATGTATTACGATTATAGAGCTTCGTTGACCACTGCTCATTGACAGCTTTAAATCTCGGAGCTTATTATTTTCTAGCCTCTTGCTTCGTTATTCCTTCTTCCTCATTCTAATCGACTTTAAAGGGTGATGAGACCGAGTGCGAGGGTTCTTATGGCAAGAGCGGCGTCGGATCCAACAAAATTCGGTTTTGGTGGATCCGACGCCTCTGTTGCCATAACAACCCTCGCACTCGATCGGACTCGACGCAAGTGTGTAAATCGCCCCTAAGGTTCGTTCACACAATGGCGTTTGACTGCTTTAATACTGCTTGCGTCGAGCTGTTGCTATGGCGACCCTTGCGACGAGCCAACGGAGAGGTGCTGTGCTGCACGACGCAACGCAGCGCAACTCGGTCGACGCAACTGTGTGAACGAGTTTTTAATCTCATTGGCTCCAGATCTATTATATGGTGCTGGGATCTAATTCCGCCCAGCGTTCCTTAAGCTAACAGTTACCATAGCCGTTCAAAACACAAAAAGTAGATTGAAAAAAAAAAAAAAACTACGTTGTTTTTCAAACAACAAAGGACTCTGCGTACTTCTCTCTCGCACTAGAATGATCATCTAAGATACGTTTATCATTCTTTGACTGAATATCACCATTTCTACTATTTAGCACGTCATCTAGATGATACGTGTAATGCTGCACGGTTGATCCGCCGTACTTAATCGCAATTATTGGTAAATACTTTTTATATAAAGTATTGCTTTATATATAGGGTGTCCCAAGTCACCAGGCTCCAACTAAAATAGACAGTAAAAATCGGCGCTTCCGCGAAGCAATCTAAACTTTTCGTCACAGATGTTTTTCACATGTTTTTCTTGTAAAATTACAAAGCGTAGCTCCCTTTCTGCAAACAAAAAGGGGGGGGGGGGGGGGGGGGGACAAGAACGTGCCCTGGTCAACGGAGGACGGCGACGCAGACGACCGAGTCGAGTTGCGGGGTGCGTTTGGCGTGAGAATTGATAAGTGGCGTCGGGAGCAGCGTCCGAAGATGTAACCGACCAGGCGAAAGGGAGCAGACGACACGCAGACGAAATCCTTTGGCAGTAAAAGCGCCGTTGTTATGTAAACGCGTCTCATTTTATTTTAAGTTTTGTTTTTATTGTTCGCAGTAACCTTTAAATTAAAGGTACTTTAAAAAAAGATTATTTTCATTTTAATAAACCACGATGGTTGCGAGCAGTCTCGATACCTATCAATACGAGTGCCAAACGCGCCCGCCAGTTGACTTCGTCGTCTGCGTCGCAGCCCGCCGTTGAACCTGGCAAGTTTCTTGGCCCTATTTTTTACAGAAAGAGAGCTACACCTTCTAAATTTACAAGAAAGAACTGACATATGAATTACACCTTTGACGAAAAGTTTAGATTGCTACGTACAGGCGTCGATATTTACGGTCAATTTTAGATCGAGCCTGGTGACTTGGGACACCCTATATTCATCTTTCTGCAATCTATTATGTATACGCCACTATACTTCGTTTCAGCTTAGGTCCGAGCGCGGCCGATGTTATGAGCCGAAGGGCCAATCAAACAGCGCGAAAAGCACAACGTCATGGCGTGCTCTCAATGCTTGAAAGGACTAGCCGGCGGAGGAGCACGCACATAGAGACGGCGAATACCGGCTAGTCCTATCAACTGCAGAGAGCACGCCCTGACGTTGCGCTTTCTGGGCTGTTTGATTGGCCCTTCGGCTCATAACATCGGCCGCGCTCGGACCTAAGCTGAAACGAAGTACAGTAAGTATTACTGCCAATTTTGAAATGCGAACGGGATGCTTTGATAATTGCTATCACATCGTGAGCATTCAAGCCATCTTATAAATTTGTCATCATATTAATTATTATCATCGTCTGCTCATTTTGTATTCGCGTCGGATAGGCAGAAAGATTGTCTTTACAGGGGCGGTTCAACGATATTGAATTGGAATATTTTTTATACTTCATGAGTTTACTGGCGCTAGTGGTATAGTATAGTCGCAGGCAACGCCATTGACCAAGAAACCTCTATGTTACGGTGTAATTTCGAGGATAAAAGCGAGCGTTTTCTTTCAGTCCCCTTCACAAAACTCGATGACGTAGCGTGGGTGTCGCAGTGTCGGCATAGTGCCCCGGTCAAGATATTTGAATGCAGATCATAGATTGAACCCGAGCATTGCGCGAGACCCTGATTTGGTGTCGTGATAATCGACAGTTCGACAAAGCATTCGGGTAGTGCGGCAATAGCCGAACCCTAACAATGATTGGAACTCGGTGTGTGTACTGTGCTTTGCCAACCCCAGCGCGTGGCTATGATCAACATTGGCGGCATATAATCGGTTCCAGATCACGTGGCCGCTTGTTCTAGCTGCGAGTTGAGGGGGCGAACGCTGCGCCTTTTATTTTTATTTATTTATTTGGCGACGTTTATTGCGCGGGAAGGAAAACGAACGCGTGTTTAAATGGTCATAAACGTCAGGGATTTGTTCTAAGTGGTATTCTCGTAAGGTACAAAGATTGTTGCACCACCCTTCTATGTACTAGTGAAAACATTATACAATGAAGTTTTACTTTCGACATTAGCCTTTAAACACATGATCGCGTTTTCTTCGGATCTTTCGTGAAATCAGTCGTTTCGTCAGTGAAATAGAATGGCTGTTTAAGTCCCTCTACCAGTCCACGTGACAGCATGCTATAACACAAAAAAAAATTTTTGTTTTGGAAGCAAAAATATTAGGTTGATTTTTATTTACGCCAGTTTTACTTCAGTTAAGTCAGATTTTTTTATTCATTTAATGGATATAATATATATATATATATGTATAAGCATTGATAGAGCTTTTTTTAATGGTAAGTTCAGTGGGCTCGTTTCATTTAAATGCCCCTCCTGCACACGTGAAAAAAAACTATAGGGCGGTGTTCTTACAATCGTATCTCAATACACGCACCAGAAGTACATTGCAAAACACCTTTTGCAATGTGCAGCAGGTGCAGGCAAATGAAACGAAACTAGCATCAGCTGTTTTTATGTATCTGAGCCTTCGAATCAATGTACAAAAAAAGCAATATCTTCTACGCCTTCAGCTACACCAAATTTAACTTCTCTGGACGGTCAACACAACCCATCCTCTAAACCCTCGGTACTTTTTGACAGTATCACGCGAGCGCCGACCGGCCGGTATAGGTCAGCCCATCATAACGATGTGAAGTGACGAAAGTAACGTGCGAGCACGTGGGCAGAAGGCAGACGCCGAAATGGGCGTCGTCTTCTAGGCTGTTCCCTGAAGCATGACGCTCCCCTGCTCCTGTTCCTCGCGCCTCCATCTCTCCGCCACTAACCGGTGATAAGGGGAGAGATATCTCCCACGGGTCGCTTCCTTTTCCCTTAATCGTCCCACAGTTTTCCAAATGCGTGCCAAAAACATTTATTTCTGATACCCCCTTATCTTAGATTAGTCTTGCAGGCGTGCAGAAGGGGCGTCGGGGTTAGCTGGAGCAAGGCTGGGTCGTGTATCGCCTAGCAACCAATGACAACTTTGGCGCGCGCGTTTTGCACACACACAGACTTATTCTCGTTGATTTCGCCACTTCCCACCGTGATGCTGCAAATTTGGCACGTGAGCGTAGTTTCGTAAAACGTATTACAATTATTTTTTAAGCTCAACTCGCATATGATAAACCATTAAAATTCGAGCAAAATCGGAGGTCGTGTGCATCTCCTACGCCCTATACGAGCCTGTTAGTCGTCTGCACACTGATTTATGAACTCTCTCTCTCTCGAGCGGCTTGCTCAACGTAGAAAACGCTGAGAACAAATAGTAGAGGCTGGCGATGAGTAAAAACTTATCGCGACAGATAATACTCTTAACGAAATATGTGAACAGTGGCCACTGAAAGCAAGCTTCGAAACAAGTGTGCACACGACAAACATGCGGCTGCAGCAGAGAAAATGCACGGCCACCCTTTTTATTATATTTTTAGTATTCGACCGCCCTTGATCCCTAAAAGAATAATAGACATCAAACTTTTTGGGAAACTACGTTCGCGTGCCCGATTGCGCAGGTTTTGTTTCGAATTTATATGCAGAGCCATAGTAGTTAGTATTCCTTGGTGGTGGTGATTTTCGGTGGTGTGGTTCAACCGAAATTGTACTCAAATGATTGTATTGCGGTGATTGTTCTTGATCTTTAATTCTTTATTTCTGTTGTTTTATTGCTGCACACACCTGAAACAGCCCGAAAGGGCTTTCAGTATTGTAAATAAATAAATAAAGAATTCGAATTTTTCAAGGCGTGCCAAATGTATTAATCCTTACGACCGTATCTTGTAGGTGTTTAGTTTAGAGTTCTTAAAAATATTAAGCTTAGAGATGATTAAGCTAGTGTTAAAATTACACTACCTTGATAATGTCGAGAAAGACCAGGGTGCAAAGAATGTGTTGTGGGCAAGCTGGGCACGTGCTATATGCGTGTTTGTAACGTCACGGGACGTCATCACGGCGGGAGACTGTCATGATCACGTGACACTTGGAACTTCATGACGTCACGCGACACAATTATGTCAGGTGACGTCACACCACTTCGTGACACTTCCTCGTGAAGGTAAAACAAAGCACATTCTCTGTTGAAAAAAAAAATTATGCCGATTTGTTTTGACTTAGGAGGAAAGACACCTCTTTTTCCTTTACTAAGAACAAAATATGTCCTGCTCAGTGATTTCTTGGTTGAAGCAATAAAAAAAAGATGTATACCTTTAAAGTACTAAATAACTTGGGACTTCGATAAAAAAAAATAATGTTTTGGCGGTTGTTGTGTTTGTTTTTTTAGAGGGGAAATTTGAAGTAAACCCAGGTTAACATAGTTTAGATGATTTGAATACGTCAAGTTTTTGATAATGCTTTCCATCATCCTAGATTTTCTTGTTCGTTTTTTTCCTCTTCGATTTTAGCAAGGTGCCAAAATCCCTACTCGCACAAAACAATAAGAATTGCGGCTTTAAAAAAATTACAGAGACCTTTATATTTAATGTTCGGTAAAGCAAATAATTGAGTAACTGAGGGGTGACCATTGAAATATATTTAGACGACACCAAACAGTCGTTTCGGGGCGTGAAGACGAAAGTATTGTTTATTTGTTTCGAAACTGGTATCCAAGTCACGTGAAGTTAATTTATTCGCTAAAATTCGCGGGGAGACTAAATTGGCTCACGTACCTGCCACGTGACCTCAGGTCGTGTATTTTCCTGACGCATATTGCGAGGAAGTGCTCCAACGGCAGACAAAAAATGCGGGACAAGCGGACAAAATTTGTGGAAATATAAAACTCGCTTCCGCATTGCACAGTACCTGGCAGCACTCCGGCAGCTCTCTGCGCCGCGTCCAAGTCAATGTCGGCGACCAGGACTCTGGCCCCCTTCTCGGCCAGAGCGGCGCATATGCTGGCCCCGATTCCTCCCCCGCCGCCCGTCACGAGAGCCAGACGACCGTCCAAGGCCTTCGCCTGTTGCGCCTCATCCACCCGCGCCATTACTACTGCAGACAAGGGCCACAACTTGACTGTCGCATATGTTTATCTTCGGAATTCTCGGAAAGCCGACTAGGCGCTTCCGAGAGATAAGTGCTCTTTCCCAAGCCGTCTTCCCCGACCTTTCCTCCTCAAAGAACCGGTTTTTTTAACGGTTCGGAGAGAAACACTGAGCTTTCTTTAATCTGACACACGTCCAGTGTGCCTAAATTTGAGAGCAATTACACTGCTCGGTCGGTGTCACGTGATTCGCGGGGCCGCATTTATAATGTAAGCTGCGAGGAGGCGAAGAAAGCGTTGGAACGGAACCTGGTCGTCTGCAAGCTTTTCTGGGTCTCGGAGCGCTTTTTTCTTCGCCACGCGACAGCGAAACTGATGTTCACTTGCTACAAGTGTTAAAGGTATTACCTAAAAAAAGTAACGAAATACGTTAGTCGTTACTTGTAAATAAAAAGAACGTGTAAAAGGCCTACGGTACCCCAAAATAAAAAGAACTTGTTACCGGGACCGTTAAAAAGTAGCGAAGGTTACTTTTGAGTTACTTCTTTTAATCCTGCATTAACACCTTTTGCTCTTTAACGTTACAGGTATGCATGAGCGTCATATTTCAAGAAACGTGCTGTCCATCCAGAAACTGAATATAATTGCCGTATCTCTTTTACGGTTCCACCTAATTACTCACAAAAAAAAGCAAAATAAAAAGCAAGAGTGTATAAAACTTAGCTCCAGAACAGTGTTGGAGGCAACGTGTTACTAGTAACGACGTTACTGGTAACGCGTTACATTTTTCGCTAACGCAGTAACATACTCGTTAGTATTCTGAATGACTAACGAGTAAAGTGTTTTTGTGACTTTTTTTACGGTATCGGCTATCAAATTACGTTACTCGTTACTCGTCAATTTTGACCAAAACTGGTGAAATACATTAGGTATTTGGGAAAAGGTCACGACGCCTGATCCAACGTTTAGAATAGAAATTCCGTGCATACAACTGGAGACGTTAGGGGAACTAAATGTAGGTCACTAAGCTCAATGGTGGGTCTACCTTCTCTGATCGAGGGGCAACTACTTGCGCTCGAGCACGCAATGCTCAGGCAATGCCGTATATTGCTGCTAAGACTTCTGAACCTTCGATTTCCTCAAACGGTGGGTTTTCCACTTATCAATCCATCTATTCTCCCATCCATCTAAAAATCCTGCACAAGCCAATCGCTGGATGGAACCAGCTTCCGTCACAGTAGACTTAAAACCTAGCTTCCAGCTCGAGCACGAGCGCTGGATCGGTAACACGTAGCGGTCATGCAGTTGTTCGGCCCTCGCGTATTTCAACTAAACGAGAATGTAACGCTTTGTCGCCACCATGGGGCATAACTCATAACTACGGTGGGTCTGCAGAGGCCTATGAAGTCCATGGCGTGGCGGGCATTTCAAAGCGCATCGGTGGCGGATCTTGAATCTCTCGCCAATATCGGTATTGAAAACATGTGTATATATATATATATATATCAGTGTGGCGAACCGAAAAAAATACGGGTTCGGTTACGGTTCAGGTTCAGGAGAATTTATTTTGTTCCGGTTCAATTCCGGTTCGATTAATTTGATCCGCGAGCCGGTTCGGGAACCGGTTCGTGGCACTGAACCGGATCGCGAACCTGTTCGGAAATTATAAATGACAAATTGCAACATCAAAATAAATTACAAATAAGACATCTGAAATCAGCACATACGAAACGGGATACATCGTAGTGTAAGGCTCAGGGATTTCTACCAGGAATGGTTTCTTTATGTGCACTCAAAGGTTACCTCACCGACGTTTACGCATTCGGACTTCATCTAATTGGGTCCGACGCAGTAGCTGTAAAATCCGCGACCTCCTTACAAACCCACTTACAAGTAGAACTCGCTAACTATCCCGCCACCTCGGCCTGTAAGCAATTGAAGGAACAGTGGGGAGAAAATACAGCTTTCTTTATTTGAACTAGCCTTCGGTAACTCAAATTAGACCCTTACAGAAGTTTTCATTAAACAAGGTACGGAATATGAAAAACACTTCACCGAACGCAACGCCAGAAGGACGTAATAGGATAAATATTAAAATAGAAGAGTTCGCTGTCTCACAATTATGTTAGCTTCTAAGTACCTATACACGAACTCAACTCTCCTACGTCACGCCGCGGTGGTGGCGCGTCGGTCGCACTTCCGGTCTGGGGTGGGGGGCAGAAGTCGCGGTGCGAGACATGCATTCCCGCGTTCTTTTGGGAGAAACCAGACAAAAAACCTGCCTTCTTGTCGAAATGCTACGACGGGGCTGTACCAAGAGTTTGGAAAGGTTTGAAGATCAGTTTTCACGTTTTCCTGCCCCTTCTGTTAGTCCGAGAACGTGGATAGTAGCCGTGACAAGGGCAAACCAGACGCTGTCGAACTACGATTGCTTGTGCCGGCAACACTTTGTGGTCGCCAGATGTATTTGTTTTGTTCCAACATGAACGAGACAAAACTGCCAAGTTGTCCGGAACACCCGCGGGTTCAGTGCGTCTTCAAATTCACACGGCCGCCTGATCACCTGCTCTTTCGAACTTTCTGCTTTTTGTCGTCTGCTTGTTCAAACAAAAGCGGCCCGTAGACCATACTTTGACCCGGTGATTGCAATAAGATGTAAACAGTATAGATACGAGAAGATGTTGATCATTGTTACCAGTGACCGTCACCGACTTGTAATGCCCGATTCTACTTGCGGTTTTTAGTATCGACGTCCACCATCTCAGCTACGGTCCACGCTATTGCAGCCCGAGCGACGTCGCGACTGAAGATAGCGAGATGAATCTCATCGTGGGAGTCAGGCTTCAGCGCCCATTCTGCGGCGTCCACGTGAAATGAATCGCCGCACGTCACATTAATCACGCAATGTTTTGCGGTGTAACGAGCCTCGTTAATTTTGCTGAAGCCGCTCAAGTAGTAAAACATTGTTAGGAGGATGTAGAATCAACAATTCCAACGTGAAAAAGAGCACGGGGACTTTACACCGACGCCGACAACAACGCAATTCAATAGTTTGTTTATGGGCGACGGCGAGCTTCTTGCCCACCGTCCACCGCGCATGCGCGGCGCCGGTGGCGTCCGCTATGGGCGCTCCGGTTTGTTTGTAAACATGAGCTGGTGTATACGAAACCGGATGCATTATTATCAAACTCCACAGCCTTTTCTTTTCTCATTGCGATGGAAGCAAGCTTCAAGAACTCGCGCGTTCTAGGAACGTGTTATGAAATGAGCACACAGCAGCATTTAGGATTTACGAGATTGTAAAAAAATGAAATCCCGTGACGCGATTTTTTTTTTTTTTTTTTGCACAGCCTTTCAATTCTTTTTCTTCCCTGCAAGCCGCGACCAGCGCAATACTGGTTCCTATGTCAAGATTTATGGATGCAGCGTTTATATTCCTAAGACTGAGTGGAGAAGAAGAATATGTAAGCGAGGTGTGTGTCAGTTGACGGCACTTAAAAAACAAATGGCATTGATAGCACATTCATTGTCAACAGCGCGTGGCCGAACCGTTTTGACGTGAGCCGGTAACCGTTATTTTTTTCCGGTTCAGTTCCGGTTCAGGTTCATCGCGATAACAATATAACGGTTCGGGTTCGGGTTCAGTTCCGGAAAAAATACCGGTTCTGTTCCGGTTTTCGGTTCGGTTCGGTTCCGGTTCGACACCCTGATATATATATATATATATGACCCCTCAAAACACAAGAATGCGATTATTTCTTAAGGGTAGCATTGATTGTATTCTACTTATTCATTATTGTTTTATGTATATTTTAATTTTAGACTCAGGATCCTTTTGACTCCTACCGCTGCCTAATCTACGAAACGACAGAGTCAATCAAACAGCGCCAGAAACGTATATACAGGGTGTCTCAGATCGCGGCCCGGCTCTTTAAATCGGTCGCGAAAATCGCTTTATTTAACCTATCGCGCAACGATTTTGTGCACCATTGCCCACAAGTAGTGCCTTTTTTCTATGAAATTCGCAAAGACCGAAGTTACCTAGGAAAAAGTGAAAAAGAAATAAAACGTTTTAACTCCTATGGAAACGCAACGAAAGCAGCGGCATTTTAAGCTTTCTTGTCTTTTTACTTTTTCCTCGGGTAATTTCGCTCTCTGCACATTTTATATAAAACATGCACCACCTGTGGGCAACGCTGCACAAAATTCCAGTGCGATAGGTTTATAAACCGATTCGTACGGTCGATTTAAAGAGCCTGGCCGCTATTTCAGACACCCTGAACATTCATCGTCACTGCGCTCATCGCCTTTAAGCGTTCGCTATCACCAACTAAGACAATGACTCAAGGTGAATACAAAATACTATCGCTTTTGAACAACTATCACCTGGGAGCAGAATGAATTGTGAGAAATATGTCGGTATGATATACACAAAGCTGCCGAAAGGAACGTGGTGCAAGATGCAAATCTCTTTACTGCGTAGGGTGGCAGCTACCAGGGCTGGCGCTCAGGTCTAGGCTCCCTGCTTTTTGACTCGTGCTTCGTCGCACTCCCTGTGGGCGAACAGGCTTTCGTTTCGATAAAATTACAGTGACGCGAAAGATACTGCGAGCTTAATAAAATGTTTAAAAATATACCCGCGGTGAGCGCTTTCGAACCTAACAATATATAGCTCGGATATGCTTTGATAAAGTAAACCTAATATACAGTGCAGTACTTTGGCATGTTTAGTAGTTTGCAGATATGGTCTCGGCGTCAATATCTGCCAGTGAGTGTGGCTGGACTATCGCCGACACCAGCCGCATACCCTTCATTTCAATGTTTTATGTCACATTGCTCACCATGATCTATAGGACGTTGTCCCCTGCAGGTCTACCTCGATTAGAAATACAGTACAGAAGCTCGTCATTTTCTCTTTAACATCGAATTGATCTGCTCGTTTTGTTTGCTCACGATTAAAAATTATTAAATAAATGATTCTTTCTTAATAAACCAGGCTATATGAGAAAAGGGTGCTTACACGGGCGCGGTAGTAAGCTCGTATTTCAGGTGTTAATTAAAGGGACACTGACAC